GTGGATGCAACCGTTTTAATTAATTGTGTTTCTCAGAGCTCATCTCAGCCTACTGAAAATTAACAAGTGAAATGGCAAAACTCCCATCAACTTCAGTGGGGCCAAGATTTTACCCAATTTACTTGTATTGCTTTCCTTCCTGGAACTAAGCATCCGATTCAAAACCTGGTAGTACTGATATTATTTGGAATATCTATGCTGTCTTTTACATCAAAGGATGCAGGATGATCCCTAGATTCTCAAAGTCAATGGGTATCTAATACTGACTTCAGTGACCCAACCCAGAGCTTTTACTGAGCTTGTTGTAATTATCTTCTAGCAAAGAGGGAAAGGAGGTCAGGGAAACCAAAACATGAGAGTTGCTTAACATTTACGTATGTGCTGACATTTGCATCTGAATTGAGAGGCATTTGATAAACATTGTACAACATTTCCTGTTCAACTAGCATGTCCATGAGTAATAAGAGAAATCAGAGGCAAGATTTTAGCTTTAATTTAGAAGAGGTTGTGGTTATTGCCTTTTAACCACACGGGGGCAGCACACGTTTATTAATATGAAGCATCCTATCACAGCCTTCATCTCAAAGCCATTCCCAAGGTCCTTACCACGCTCCAGAATATTTCGCACACCTTTTCTGTTGCAATACATTACAGATGCAATTCACTCCCCTTGTGTCTCTGTTACTAAAGATTGCTTTTAAGCAGCTTGTCAGCTGACTCTGTTTGTATCTGAGTATCAGCCCTGCTCATTCTTGTAATTAATTAATGTACACTGCATTTTTATTTTGCCTTCCACCCAAAGATCTTTACAAGTATTCATGAATCAAGCCTAAAATTAAAAAAATCGCACCCTCCTTGTGGAGTGAGGAATTATTCTCCTTTCACCAATGATTAATCATTTTACAAAATGAAACTCGGCCACAGAGATGTAATTGACCCAAATGGACACAACAAATCCCTTGTAAAGGCAGGAACAGAACCCCAAGCTTAACGACCTAAGTCACACCACTGTCCTGTAACACGTGCCTTAGGATAGGTGTGTTGAAAAAGGACAAGTTCAGTTCCTCAACTGCACCAGGCTACATTTTTGGCCCAAGTGACTCTGCTTCCAGAATAACTCCATTGGCTTCATCAGCATCGATGAGAACAAAACTTGACTAAGAAAAATCTTCCGATTCTCTTATGCATAAGAGTAACACTATACTTGTATTTTCTGCTTAGATTTATACTGTCTTGGTCTTTTAAAAAAAAAAAAAAAATTCTCAGTGTTCTTGCAGACACAGGCAACTGTACATTCCTTTAAAATGATGTACTCCATTTTAGCATGCTAGTCTCTTTAGAGGGAAAAAAATTCTGTTGTAATGAAATGTGATTTCTCCACTGTTTCCTTGGCTCTTCAGGTAGCAGCTTCAGGAGAAGGATCGACCATCAGTGGCTATCTCAGCAGGTGTAAGAGAGGCAAACGACATTGGAAAAAGTTGTGGTTTGTCATCAAAGGCAAAGTCCTCTACACATATACAGCAAATGAGGTACTGTCTGTCATGACTTAGCAACCCAACTGGGGAATCTTGTCATGTTCCTTTTCTCACTTGTGCACGACAGATTTCATTAGAGGAGCATACCTGTCACTTCTTACCTAGCCTTTCCCAATTAGTTTAGGAGCCACAGGAGCTCTGGAGCTACCAGAGCCACAATAAAATATACGCTCCTATGTGAACTGTGACAAACACTCCAAGTACAAGGAAATTAGATGTAGATATACAGCAAATTGCCAATATATTGGCACTAGCATATGACCTTACAGCTTCTTTATATAATTCAACATACTCCATATATGAAGAAAAGTGGATTAGGAGCTATATAGTCTGGGCCTCTCTCTATTACAGAAAGCAGGTTTATTCTGGCAAGAATTTCTTTCAGTCAAAATAGTCTTAGAAAAGCCTCTCCGTCTTGCTTCACTGCACTGTATATGGTATGAGATGGTACCTGAGAACTGCTGGATTGTTATTTATATAGCCTTTTTTCCCCTGAAGAAGGAAAAACCAAGCTTTCTCTAGTCAAGGGTTAAATCAATTCTCCAGGACCAAGAAAAACATCCCAGTTCTCTAGAAGTAGATATTTGGCATACGGCTGTAGTATACATAGTAAGTGTGCAGCCGTCAGAGAATACAAGGGCAAGCATGCCATCGTGCTTCTCACTGTTAAAGGCGGTGGCCAGCTCTGAGCTGCAGTGTGGAGCTGACCAGCATTTCCTCCCTAGGCTATTGTGGTGATTAGACTTACCCCAGTGGAAGGTGTTTTATTAGGCAGGGTGATTTTTTACTTTGCTGGAAGCTTTTGTCACTTCCCAGCTCCTTTGTCATATTTTCATCTCTACTTCTTTGAGTTGCTGTAGTACCCTGGGTAGCCATGAAATTTTATAAGAAGATACAAGGGATGGTTCTGATTGATAGTAGTCATTCATAACGGAGACAGCAGCGTTTACTGAATGAGGCAGAGCTCAGATGATAACCTATGAAACTGGCACTTAAACTTTTCAAATGTTTTGAAAATATCAAGTACTTAACTTTTCATCACATAAATGAAGTAGGGAGATATAGTGATGCATAAAAAAGTGGCATAATTGACCACCACTGTCAGCCATCTAGGACAATAGTATCTTAAGCCTGATTTTCAGAGGTGTGTTGGAACAGAGCAGCTCCTATGAGCTTCTAGTTCCACTGGAACTGTGGGTGCTCAGCACTACTGAAAATGAAGCTCTTAAAACCAAGTTCAATCCCCTCCTTCCCCATGGGGTGGACACTTCTGCTTACCTGAATGGAGTCGCTTCTACTGTCACAGTAATGGACTAAAATCTGAAAGAACAGCGAATGCCTGACAAGCATTTATGCTCCCAGCATTGGCTATATCTTTAAAAAAAAAAAAAAAGAGAGAGAGAGAGAGAAGAGAATCTCAAAAAGGGGGAAAAAACCATTACCTTAATAGAGGTAGAGCCACCAAAATTGCAGCCATCAGTAATAGTTAAACTACAATTCAATTAAGGCTTTATTGCTGTCTTTCTTCTACTTCTATAGTGCAAGCAGAATTCATGGATGTTTCCTGGGAGTAAATTAACAGTGTTGCATTACCAGCTCATAAATTTTAAAGCAGTGCTTTTGAAAGCAAGCATGCTGTGAGAGACTGAAGGAAATTCTGTCTAAAGGCTGCTGAGATTGTGCAGGGGAGGGACTGGCTGCCACTATACAATGTTGGCACCCTCCTTAGCCTTGGTAATATTAGACCTTCTCTGTGACCTATGGTTTGGTGATCTCAGTCTGGTTCCTAGACACCCACCTCACAGAGGCCACTCATGTCTGCTACTAAGCTGGAACCCTTGTTGGTTGTCTAAAGTGGATTGTGTGAAGTGATCATGGAGAAGTTGAACCCTAAAGATGGAATCTTTAAGTTCAGGTTTGAGACGCCGGCACGGCAGTGCGCAAGGAAGCCTTACACTGCAGCAGACAATGCTTCTTGAAATCCACACACTCCTTACCACTGCAGTAGCAACTAAGGACTCCATAAGGATTGAGGCCCTGTTGTGATAGGCTTTGCAGGCACACATGATGAAAAGATATACCCAGCTCCAAAGAGCCTGCAGCCCTGTTGGAAATGCTCCTTCTAAAGTCTTATTACCCCTTCTGAATTGATTTTAGGATAAAGTCGCTACAGAGAGTTTGCCTTTGCTGGGTTTCACAATTGCCCCAGAAAAGGAGGAAGGAAGTACGGATGCAGTTTTCCATCTTTACCACAAGCAAACCTTGTTTTATAGCTTCCGAGCAGAGGATTACAATTCAGCACAGAGGTACTGGGTGGGGAATTGCACATTACGTACTAACCAATGAACGGGGTCAAAAGTGTAAGCAGCACGCTTCATTCCCCTAACATACTTCTTCCCCACTTCCTTTCCTTCTGAAGGCAACCCAGTTAAAAGATAGAATAGAAACAGGTTCATGTATGCTAATTACAGCCAATTAAATGCAATTGACCTGGCTGACATTAAAGCACCAGGCAGAACTCAGTCCATCATCTCAGCAACAGATTTTCTACAGATGCCACTAAGGAAGTTAAGATTCATAGCCCCACACAAAGCAATCTATCAGATGTAATTGTAAAAGGGACTGCTCATATGAATCCAGTGTATCTGCCTTTTAATTTGCTCTTTAATGAACAATTTCTAGATTTAACATGCTTTATTGTTACTAGTACTGCATAATTACAGTAACTGTAAAATTAATGATGAGTGCTAGAACCTAAAATATATATCCTTTCATTTTTCTGCATGTTTAAAATATCCCTTTCTTCTACATACCTCCATAATTTCATCTCTCCCTCTTCACCCATCCAGCACATGTGATTTCCTCGAGTTTATACAGGAGTTTAATCAGTAGCAAAGTCAAGGACAGAACCCAGATGTCTTGGCTTCCAGGACCCTTACTCTAACTCCACGCCTTTATTTCCTCTTTAGGACTATAATGGGGAAACAAGAGAACAGAACAGAACAGAACACTCTTCTCTGAACCCAGTGTTTTAAATAAATGTGTTTGCTAGATCCACAAAACTAAATCTGCTCCCCCCCTTCCTTTCTTTTCTTTTTCAGGTGGATTGAAGCCATGGAAGAAGCAACCATATTATAGCAGCAGTCATTCAATGGACTTGGAATAAATTCTCAGATTTCTATACATTCCCAGAAGTCACTTCCTAATTTCAAGAAGCTGAACAGTGTATTACAAACCACCTGGCTATGTACACTGGATATGGACTGTTTCCAAAATTGCTCTTTTTTGCTTCCTTCCTCTTAAATCCATATTTTTTTGCAAGTGGAAACTTTAAATAGGGAATATTTATGGTCCTCCTCTTTATGTCTGTGCAAGTTCAGTCTGCACTGTAACTCACTCCTAATCCCACAATCAACTAAGTTTTAACAACAAAACAAGAAACACAGCTGATAAACATTTTTTTCTAAACAATTCACATGGAAGTACAGGTTAGCAGTTAAGCTGTACTTATTCTAGGCTATCGCCTTCTTTCATTGTGTTGGTTTTGGTGTCTAAGTGAAATAAACAACGTAGTGAACAACAGATACTCATTTAAAGCACTTTATTGTTTTTATTGAAATACAGCTTCATTCCCCTCCTTTTCCCCCCCGGCATGTTCTGTGGACTGATTTACCACTAGTCCATTAACAGTTGCCAGCATCAAATTGTTCCCTGTCTACGTTAAATTACTTCCACACAACATGAATGAAAAAAGAAAGCAAACAAAAAAACAAGAGACCTGCAAAGCATTATGATCTACTAGTACCCTATGGCTAGCACGCATGGTAATTACTTATATCAATTTATAATTTAATGCAAGTTGCTGTATAATTTATTAAAAGGAATTTCATGCCATACCACTGCAGAACACTACAGGAGCTTTGCAAACCCAAATAAGGAACATCATTTTCCATAAAGACTGCATAAATTAAAACCTCATTGAGGTTTTATTTTACTGTATATCTTCAGACAGCTTATATTTGACACTGGTCTATTTAATTAGCTGTAGAGTTTTTAAATAATCTGATAGAATCTTTATTTTTAAGATTCACAGTTGTTACTGCTGTCTTGGTTATAACAAATGCCATCAAAAATGTAATTCATGGTACCAGCACAAAATTTAAGAGCCACTGGCTGGCCGTAAAGTATTGAACACGATCTGTCCAAATTCTTTAGCACTCCTGTGGCAAAAACTGCAACTTAAATCACACTTCTCTTGCATCTCAGACTTAGGGGCCAGATCCTCAGCCACCATGTATCAGCACGACTTCAATAGGACTATGCTGATTTATACTACCTGAGGATTTAGCCTGCTCAGTTCCTGTTATAAGGGGTGGAGAAATATAATTATTGCAAAGAAAAGATCTAGGTATCTCATATATGTTATAAATATAATGCTTGACTGAGGAACAGAATGGCATTTATGACTCAATTATACCTTTGTACAAAATACCAGGTCCAAGAAGTTACTCGTGCTAAAATACATTTTCAGGGAAACATTCTCATTACTTTTTTCCTTCCTTCAATAATTTACATCAAAGCCTGAGCTTCTGGTTCCAATGTTGACTAGTTAGAAATGTCCATATTTTAAAGGTTTACAGAATGTATTCAAGAGAAATAGATCTATTTATCATCCAAAATAAAACATGTAAAAAATATGGATCTTATCTAACATTAAATAAAAATACAGTTGTGCTCTTTCATTGATATATTTGAGTCCCCAATAGTTTCATAAAGCACAGACAGTCATATGCAAAGAGGAATTAATTATTAAAAAATAAAGCTTATATTGTTATCTTAAAATGGGTAAATGCCAATGTTAACACTGTACAGTATGTGTCATGTTAAAACTATGGCCTAGCTTCCATTAGACTGTAAATGTTTCTTATTCCTTAAAAAAAACAAAAACATTTGTTGGATTTGCACTGACTGACAAAAATAAAGAATGTTAAATACAAATTGTAATAGATTTAAAATCACTAACCAAGGTTTCAAGCAAAACAAAACTGCACTACAGACAAGCAACAGTATTATGAAGATTTAGGTGCTGACATTTAGTGACTGTTGTTTTTTAATGATGGGCAGGAAATGAATACATGAAAATATTTTGTTGTAAAAAGTAAATCCAGTGCTATTAAAATTTCTTGTTTTAAGTAATGTGGAAAAATAAAAAAGCAAAATACAACTAATTCCACAGGTTTTTCTTCCCTCCCCCCTTTACACTGCTTCTGTCTTATTTCCATCTTGGAATGAAAAACACTGCTTTTGTTGGTATAAAGGTATAGTTACAGTATAAATCCCTAACAACGAGGCTCTCCAATACCCAAAATTCTGTGGAACAAATAGGAAGGATGGTGCAATGGTAACTTTGTTTGCCTTGAACTCTGGGGATTTACATTCAACTCCCTGCTCTGCCATACTTGCTGCATGACCTTGTGCAGCCCACACAATCTGTGCCTCAATTTCCCATCTGTACAGGGGGCAACCTGCACAGGACAAGTGCTCACCCAGTCAAAAATTTAAGGACCTGTCTAGCAAAGCAGAGTACACTCAAAATTGTGCTCTAAACACCAGCCACTTGGTCAGCGACTCAGTTCCAGACTGATCTGATCTGTGTTATTCCAGTGATTTGGCCAAATGTTGTTTGCTTTGCTGAAAGATATTAAGATGATTACTTTGATTCCAAATAGCATTTAATCTTTTTATCTACATCCTATAGCACATGGTCATGACTTAGAACATTTGTAAACAGTCCTCATGACCTGAGGACTTGCGTAGTTTTTCAGGTAAAACTACATAAGTCAGATGGAGTCCAGCTCAGCTGGTTGCCTCTTCCTCCCTGGTCTATCACTTTTTTTCCCCATACGTAAACCTGTATACCTTATAAACTCCATTGTTTAGATTACTGGGAGCCTCCACAATGAGGATGTATACTACGCCATTTCAAAAAAACGAACCAATTACAATTTCATGATCAGCATCATACTTATGGACATGGGCCGTATTTTGATTGCTTTAGTCAGGCAGCACTTTACTCCAGCAAGCCATTCCAGACTACTGTAAAAGAGCCCAAATGAAGAAAATGACAGAACCATGGAAGTATTTCTAGAAGACCACTATTATGATTAGAAAAAAAGAAAAAGAAGAAAGACTGCCTTAAGCCACCTTTGCAAACTGTGCTGGAAACCTGAAACAAGTACAATGACTTTGGGAGCTCTCCATATCACTTGGGTCACCAGTGTTCCTGATCTGGTTCTATCCCACCTTTATGCTGGGGTTATGGCAGCGGAGGAGTCCTACAAACCCATGCAGAATGAATTTATGCACTGCAGAACGCTCCCATTACAGCCTGCCCCTTTACTCTTCCCTTTCACAGGACACAGCTTGTGTACAGGAGACAAAACCCTGCCCAATGAATTGAATGCTCCTGACTATGAATAACAGCAGACACACTAGCAGAAAGGACCCACTGTGCACAGCTAATCTAGGACACCAAGTTCTTAAAGTAAGTGTCCCCCCTTTTAGCTCCCTTTCAAGTTGGCAACAAAAGGCCTTTGGAAGTTACACACAAAGACTACTGAAACTTGTTTTACTTGTCACCCAGTCCTGGTTAAAACAAAGGGTCTACATTCAAGGGAGTGCCTATGGATACTTTAAATCCCAATGTTATAAAGTGCTTCAAAGTGCAGCTATGTAATACATGCAACTGGACTACTTGCATGAATGAAGTTATTCTCAGTCTTGTTCCAAGTTCAAGTCCTCAAATCTTAGCAGCTCATAAGAAGCTACTAAAATTGCTATTCCCAAAAAGACTCAAAGGGCATGTCCAGACGAGCGCACACATGCCTCTTGCCCCATCTCAAACCCCTTTGATGCAGGGCAAGAAGCATGTGCGGGAACAAAAAAAATGTTCCCCATGCTGCAAGTTTGCAGTGTGGGGAGAAAATTAGACCCCTGGATACCCAGGGATCTAAAACCGCTCCGCAGAACAGCAGAGTAAGGCATGGTCCCAGACTGTGCCATGGAGTCAGTCCTCCAAAAGAGACGCTCTGGTATCAGCCAGAGCATCTCTTTGGTTCTCCTGCTGCCTCCGGCCCCCAGCACTGTCCAAAGTAAGGAGGGGGGAGGGGGGGGGTCATGAGTGCGAGTGGGTGAGGAATGGCAGGGGGATGTGGGTGTGGGCATGCCTCCAGGGCTGCGGGGGGTGAGGACCCAGCCCAGCCCTGTGCAGCTCGCTAGTCCGGCTTTACACCGAAGCGGGTTGCAGGACTCCAGGAGGCGCACACAGGACCCATGCCTCCTGGAGCCATGTGACCTGCTCGGGTGCAAAGCTGGACTAGCATGCCATACGGGGCTGGCCCAGGTCCCACTGCGCACCACCGCCCCACAGGCACAGCAGGGCAGAGGCAGGACACGGCGTGGGGACTGCGCGCCGCATCCAGCGAGTCCTGCTGTTCTTGGGGCCCCTCTGCCGCCTGGCTAGGCCATTCTCATGGTGGCAGGACCCGGCGTGGTGTGGTGTAGTCCCCACATGCTGCACCAGGTCCTGCCACCATGACCCGGCCTGGGCGGGCGGCAGAGAGGCCCCAGAGCCAGCAGGACCCAGCTGGGCCTGGCGCACAGTTCCCGCTTGCCATGCCAGGTCCTGTCGCCGTGGCTCAGAGTGCTCCACTCCCACTGCTGCTGTAAATTATGGGCTGTGGCCCTCCAAGGTGCCTGGGACCCTGGGCAGGTGGAGGCTGTCACCCTCCAGCAAGCCTGGGACCCTGGGCTGGGGGGTTGTGGTCCTGTGGGGAATTGGAGCTGCAGCCCTCCAGGGGGCAGCTGGGGCGAGCTGTACCCTGTGGGGGCCAGGGGACCCACCCCTCCTGAGCAGCCCCCCCACAAGGTCCCCAGCAATCGCCCCAAATCTACCCACACACCAACCCACATCCCTCCACATACACCCACCCGCCTTCCTCCACACCCCTTCCCACCCCCTTCCTGCAAACACCACATCCATCATGTGTGAAGAAAATGAAAAGCACACATCAACACATAGGTATTTAGAATTTATTTTATCCAGATGATAGACACTGGTAGGCCTCCACATTGCTTTAACATTGTAAATATACCAATAAAGCATTGCCCAACTGATTGCTCTCTCTCTCTCTCTCCCCATATATGGCACAAGGGGTACTGTCCCCAGGTACCAAGTGGCCGGGCCCCAGAACCTCTTGAGAGCAAATAGCCCTGAGCTGCTTGCCAGAGCAGCTTTTTGTACAGATAGGGCCAGGACAAGTCAGCTTTTTATACTGCTGGGGATAGCACAGGTGCTGGCCCCAGGCTGCAGATCCAGGAGCTAGGCAGAGTTATTTTGTCCCAAGTGGCACAATTTGCTCCACAACCAAGTCCATGTCCTAGCACATGCGCCGAGGCAAAAAGCCCTGGCTCAGATTTGCACTGCTTCTATTTGAGATGCTGCAAGCGCACATGCTTGCATGTGTGGATACGCCCAAAGAGTCTTAAGAATTTTTTATATTTGACAGTTTATTTTAGTCAGCCAACTGTTTTACAAGAGATTTTTGGCAAATTATATTGCAGACATCGAGCATCTTTTTATCCTGCATGCAGTTACAGCTTAACAGATTTTATGAGCTGAATCTCATTTGTAAGCAGTGAACGTCTGACAGAAAATTGATGGTTCTCAGATACAACTACTGTGAAGTCTTTATTCTGAAGTGAAAGCCAAGCCAAAGTTAATGCTACCTATCACAGAACTGATGACAAAAATATTACTCTATATTATGTTAGGCACCAAGTCACACAGACTAGTATGAGGTGTTCTTCAATGAACATGGTGTGGCATGTACAGCCCTACGTTTTATAGGAAGACAAAATTATATAAAAAAAATAATTAGAATTACACACAGAGGTTTCTAAACTATGCATAAATGTGAACCACAATATAGTGGTGGGAAAAAAGTTCCCTTGTTTAGCCTTCTATGCTCTGTAAGCCTTCTCTATGCCGTGCCAAATACACGCTAGTTTAAAGCCGCTTAGAACTTTTTTCAATTAAATCTTTTTATTAATCCAAACATATCATTTAATCAAAATCAAAGCCATTAATATAGACGTTATCAATTTACCAGATTTTTGACAAAAAAGGTTTCTAAAGTCCAGGGCGTTCCTTCCCGAAAGACCTGAACTGACCAATGATATCTTGTGAAAACAATCAAAAGGTATGTGTCATTCCAATACAGAACAAAAGCTTCCAAACTCTCCAAGTGATCTTAAAGTGCTATCCCCCCTCGAGGCAGCTCTACTTCTAGCAATCTAAACCATGCAACTTGGGGATAAAACTTTTTAATCGGATTTTGTTGCTGCTTTCACAGATGTTGAAGGCCTATACTGGAACTACAGCCCTAGACCATTTATTTATTGGGTCCAAGTTTTTCTAGCAGTTTTAAAAATTCTTCTATCTAAATATTGCATCTTTTATCTATGCTATTTCCTCCCTCTTCAAAGATACAAACCACTAAAATAAATATAAAATTAAAAAGATGGACGGAGATTAAATGATTGGTAATATTTTGTGCAACCATTCCCTTCTAGTTTATTAGTTCAAGTGCAGCCATAAGCAATCATTAAACAATGTATTGTTTGTAATCTAATTTCAGATTGTTCTGGTACAGTATATTGGTACAATGCGTGTGTGGAAGTCGTCATATTCCAAAAGGTCAAGAGATGCAAACCAGTTCACCAAGTCTTAGGATGGACTGGGGTGACTAATGTCATCATCTGAAACTTCAGTTTGCAGAATACCAAATTTCCCGTGGTCCAAGATGGGTCACACCACTCTCCACTTCAGGATAACAATGTTGCAAACCATTCTTCCACAGTTCTGGTGGATAGGGAATACCTTTTATGGCTCTTGGAGAGAAGCAGCAGCAGCAAAGCTAAGACACAGATACCACTGAGCCAGACAGACTAAAAGAACTTGGCCCAGGACCAAAAAAAGGGGTTTTCATCAATGCTGTAAATGCTTGATCCTTTGCCTGAAGTTAGGGTCAGTTAGGGGCCAAGATCTCTGCCCCCTCCCCCCTGAAGGATTTCTTCATAGCTTATCTTCATGCCCTTTACTTCAAACTGGCAATTTCCTAATACAATACAACTCAAGGGCTGCAAGCTAGGGAACCTCATTTT